AATTACAAGCTACAAAATTGGAATGAAATAAATCAAGAAGATTTTAAGTTTCAGAATTTTAAAAAGCCATTCTTTTATTTTTAAAATTTGATTTCTTTTCCATTTTCTATAATTAAAAGGTTATATATTTAAAACTTCATTTCTAGAGAACTATTCCACCAGTTTCATTCAAATTTTCACTTTTGTCATTAAAAATTGCGTATTAAAAATGTAATACTTTACACCAATTCTCTTCCTCAGATAAAATAATAATTATTATTTTACTACGAATTATATACGGAGAAATGTATTTTATAATGGTGTACAAAAACTTGATTCGCACAAGTTCTCGGGATATCGTAAAATACACAAAAGCTGAAAATATCATGAAGGGATCCGGATTTTTAACCAGTTTCCAACATTATTATTGGTACCATATTTTCCAGGTTGCAGTTGACTCCGTGCCCCAACATATTCCGAGGGTCAGGATTCTGAATCTGTCGATAAATAAACATGCTTATTCTGAGAAGTTACTTCTGTGTGTCCTATTTCAAAACTTAAAATATCGTCAACATGAATTAACATACTTAAGTTTAAACTGTCAAACTAATAAGATGGAGTACGTGAAAATTCGACCATTACATTAGATCAAAATTTATTCTCGGTGTTCACTTCTTATTTCGCTCCCAGTATGTCACAATTGGCCACTTTCATATGAGCTAAAGTAGAACATATCATTCGTATCACTCATCGACTTATCATTTCTTATTCAACACTTTTATTCATTTCGTCCATAATAAAATTACTCATATTAACATTATGAAACATGTGCACTATTCTACATTAGTTTTGAAGCTAATAAAATTTCTCCATTGAGAAGCATACGTAATTGGCATCTGAAATAATATATTTGAAAACAATTAATTGAATAAGCTTACGCTATGATATATAAGAATCCCATAATGTTGTAACAACATTCTCCATAATCTGTATATAAGAAGGGGAACAGTAATTAAAATAACTAAATAAAAATAAATTGTAAATTTTTAGGTTAGTCGTAAAGCCTTCAAAGACTTTTTTGGGGATTCTTGCTTTTTTCTAGCATCGTTGCATAGTTAAAAATTGACAATGATGAATACTTTTAAAATCAAACTATGTAACATAAGGTAAACAAAACACACGAGTAAAAATCCAAGCGCACGTTAACACCTGTTTTTAAGAGTTAATAAATTTTCAATTTTCTAGTATACTCGTAAAATTAGTAGCTGGTGTGACTCCTAATAATATGATTGGTTTAAAATATATGCCGATCAAGGATCCCTTATTAAGTCTCCCACTTTTCCATAACAAAAATCGTTATCACGATGGACAATTGGTTGTTGTGGTTTTGTTTTTAATTCTCCACAATATAGTTTCAACTATATCAAATGCTCTAGCAAAGTCGCTTACCAGAATTGATCGCAAGTCCTCCTGAGTGTCCTCCAAGGAAAATTGCAGGCAATCAAGAATGTGTTTGGGGTAAGTAGGTCTCAAAATGCACTTGCTACGTGTTGGGAAGACTTTGCTCCCGAATTCGAAAATTAAGCTTTTTAAATGGCCACTGATGAATTGGGAAACTGCTGTTTTATCCGATCTATCTTCTTTGAGCACCATCAGGGATTTTTCTCCCAAACCAGTGGCGCACAGGAGGGGTTCATCAGAGTTGCCTGTTGCTATTTTTCTTTAGAGAGAAAATCTCTAAATAAGTTATACGGTAGTCAGATGTTGCAACCTCAATGATGTCTTTTTTAGCCAGGCTATATGCGAATTTATTATCAGGGACATTGACATTTGACGAGATCTATTGTAAAAAGATTTTTGGTGAGGGATCATTTCGAGTTTTGATGAGATATTTCAATTTGCCGATAAATTTAAAAGTTTAGTTCTTATCTTCAACGGGATATAGAGAAATAAAATTTTTTGCTAAAAAAAAGCAAAAGTACAGGAGTTGGCATTTAGTGGTCCTCAATATTTTTCAGAGAGGAAAAGGATTCTTTAACACCTCGCCAGAATATGATTAGAGTAGTAAATAATTTTTTTACATTTGTTTTTTCAAAGCTTCTACCCTGCTTTTGATATCTACCAACGTTTAATATATGCTATCGACTATGTAGATTACCTGTTTGGAAAAAAAGCACTAGTCATTTTGTGATGGGATACTTTCTTTCTTTTTCTTTTCCGTGAGATTGAAATAAATTTAATACAAGAACAATTTAATTTAAGTCATTATCTTGTGTAAAAACTTGTAATCGAATTAAAATGTGCAAAAAAATTATTTCCTTGAGATTTTTGATCTTTATGTGCCCTACGTACCACTTTTTATACTTAATCTGTCCCTGACCACACGCCGTATTCACGCCGTATGTCACAACTGATTCTTAGAAAAGAGATAATGATTTTCAAAGACTTTTGCATGAAAATCATCGAGTGTTTAAACGAGCTGTCCTCTCCCTTGTTGGATTCTTATTCTTATAGGTGTTTGAAAAAAGAGGTTAGTAATTAAATTAGGCATAACACATTGAACTTATCAATTAAAAAATAATTTCAAAAATTTCGAAAAAAAATCTTTTTTCAAGGAAAATTTTTAAAAATTCAGAAAAAAGTAACAATTTTCTCCGTTATTCTCGTTACAGATTCTTGTATTTTTTCCCAAAAGGAAGTAACAAAAAAATAAAGTAAAACTACTAAATTCAAATTGTAGCGAAGCATATATATATATATATATATATATATATATATATA